TGGCGAAGAACCAATTATAACATAAGTTGAGCAAATCACAGACTTACGATTGGCTATCTCACTCCACGTGTAACGGCATTTATTACGGGCTGTCGTGTGCTATACAAATACAAATTTGAGAAAGGTCCAATTCAGCCAATAGGAAGACGCTAAAATTAGGCTGTGCAATATTAATCTGACCTAAAAGTGCTTATCGTACGACGATGCCAGGCATAAAATATTTACGCTATACTCGCTCCGAATATATTTGCTCGAAGGGTATTATGCGCTAAATGTACACAGTCGTTTATCTATAATGGAATTGAACGCTTCACTTTTTGCATTTTGACAACTGTGTTTTCAAAGGTCTTTGAAGCTTCGGAGAATAACTCTTTTGTCTTTTTGGGTTATGGGGCCAGACTTTTTCGCCTTCCTTGAAACATCCCTCCGTAGCTTGAGTATCGTACCGTTTCTTCATCCTGTCGCTGGCGATTTGGAGATGCGAGCGAACTAATTCATGCAATTCGTCCATTCTTCTTCGTAACTGGATCACATAATCTTCACCAGCTACATCTTCTCCAGGTCGACATCCAAACTCGAGGTCGTACGGTAGTTTCATCTCACGCCCAAACAAGACAGCGGATCTATAAGCCATTGCAAAAAACGAAAGATACTGATCCCAATCTCGCTGATTGTTTGAAACTACTTTGGACAGATATTTGCCAATGGTCTTATTCATTCGCTCTACCATTCCATCGGATTGTGGGTGCAATGCTGTGGTTCTGGTTTTCTTCATGCCTAGTCTGTCACAGATTCCACGCAAAAGTTAACTTTCAAAATTTCTGCCTTGGTTACTGTGGATCTCCAAGGGCACTCAAAATCGACAGATAAACTCCTTTATCAATACATCTGCAACAGTTGCGGCCTCTTGATTTGGAATGGCATAGACTTCCACCCACTTTGTAAAATAATCCATAACCACCAAAATGTATTTATTACCATCCTCGGTCGCGGGGAATGGCCCTGAAGGGTTTTCCTAATACCGAAATGTTCTTCTGATGGACTGTCGTATAACTGACGGAGTACTTCAGCTACTCTACTTCTTGGAATGACCAACTGACTTCTGTTCTCGGAACCATCATCATTTTCAAGTACTCGCTTTAATAAGCCATCTTCACGGATAAAGGAGTTTCACTGAGCCAAATACGACTTAAGTACTGGAGAGAGATAAGATACTTCATGCCAAGTAGGTCGACGATTTTCCTCTTTCCATTGTCGCATTTTCTTTAAAACGGTATCGTTCTCTTGTTCTTCCCTAATTTTAGCAGGGGCCCACTCATCGTTGACTACAGTTGTTCTTAGTAGTCCACTTTCTTTGGATTCCGCTTTATTGCAGTGGGAGCACTCTGCTGGACACGGTCTTCTAGAAAGAGAATCGGTATTTCTATGGCTTCTTCCGGCTCGTTGTTCGATCTTAAAGTCGTACTCTTGAAGTCGTTCAATCCATCTGGCTATTTGACCCTCCGGGTTTTTGAACTGCATCAACCACTTAAGGGCGGCATGATCGGTACGGATTAAAAATTTCCTTCCGTACAGGTATTGGTAGAAATGTTCCACACACTTTACAACTGCCAGGAGCTCTCTTCTTGTGATGCAGTAATTTCGTTCAGGTTTCGAAAGCACTTTACTAAAATAACCTAGTACTCTTTCTTTCCCTTCCTGAATCTGTGAAAGCCCTCCTCCAATTTCTACATTACTAGCATCAGTATCCAGGATAAATTATCCCCCTGGTAGTGGGTAGCCTAGTACTGGTGTTGTTGTTAAATGGTTCTTTAATGTTTCAAAGGCAGTTTGGCAGTCCTCGTCCCAGTAGAATTCCCTCGCTTCTTCTGTGAGTCGCGTTAGTGGTTTAGCAATATCTGCAAACTTCTTTATGAATCTTCGATAGTACGTAAAAAGCCCAAGAAAACTTCTTATTTGGTGTTTATCCTTTGGTTATGGCCACTCTTTGATAGAAGCGACTTTTTCCTTATCTACAGCCACGCCATTTGAAATAGTTGGCACTTCTTGGGGTTTAGCATCAGTTGGGCAGCTTGAACTCTTTTAAAAAACATCTAAGTTTTTTAGATGTTCATCAAATGTCTTCTCCAAGACTATGATGTTGTCTAAATACACCAGGCATGTTTTCCAAGATAACCCTCTCAATACATTTTCCATAAGTCTTTCAAATGTCGCGGGGGCATTACATAGTCCAAATGGCATCACATTAAATTGCCACAATCCAGATCCGGTGGTAAAAGCTGTCTTTTCTTTGTCTACTGCGTCCATTTCCACCTGCCAGTATCCAGACTTCAAGTCTAAGGTAGAAAATAGTTTACTTCCGGCCAATGTGTCCAAGGTATCGTCGATACGAGTCAGAGGGTAACTGTTTTTCTTGGTAACATTGTTCAACTGACGGTAATCCACACAGAACCTCGTAGTTCCATCCTTTTTCTGGACCAGGACTACTGGAGAGACCCATGGGCTAGTAGAAGGTTCTTTTACCCTGTCTTCCTTTATTTCCTAAACAATCCTTTCAACTTCCTCTCTCTTGGCCTTTGGTAATCTTTGAGCTGATTGACGAATCGGCCTGGCGTCACAGTGTCAATTTTGTGTTTTACGACTGAAGTTCTTCCTGTTTTTCCTGCTTTTCCTATTTTTAATACTTCACACTCTCACAGAGAACCAATTAACCAACTGTCACCAACTCTCTTCTCTATTATGCAGAAAGCAACCAAGCCGCTTGGATTGCTTCTGCTAGCATGTCAGCTTAATCAATTTAGTCGGTTGGTTCATTGGCTAACAAATAACACTAGGTACCAGAATATAACCTGGATCTTTTTTGCAGTAAAGGTTACGGTTCTTAATGCAATATTATGCAAAAGTCTAAAATCCCAAATTTGTGGGTTACTTCCTTTCTGGAGAAAGCCGTCCAATTTAACATCAAGAAGGACAAATGGTCCTCACATACATGCAACCAAGAAAACATCCTCTAATAACATTGACTACTACTGGGCCGACCCTGTTACAGCTATCGAAAAGACGGCAACACAGTGTGCCGGTTTCCAATTAGAAATACATTGCCTATGCCTGACTATACTGCATTCTCAGTGTGTCCCGAGCCCTAGAGCTTGATTTTTACTAAAAATTTTATGTTAATATCACTTATCGTTTTCGATTTATGATTTTTTTTTAATTTCAGCCCCTCTTGAACACCCCGTTTTTAATCAGATTTTTTTTAAATCAAAGGGCTTCTTCGCTTTATATAGCTTGATTTTTGCGAAAAATTTCGAGTTGATATCGTTTTTCGTTTTTGAGTTAGGATTTTGTTTTAATATTTCAACCCCCCCCCCCTTAACCACCCATTCTTAATCCGATTTTTCAAATTTAATATGCTTTGCCCTCGCATAGAGCTTGATTTTTGCTAATAATTTCAAGTCGATATCATTTTTCGTTTTTGGGTTATGATTTTTTGTTTAATATTTCGACCCCGCTTAAACCCTCTATTTTTATTCAGAGTTTGATTTTTCCTGAAATTTTCAAATTAATATCGTTTTTACGTTTTTGACTTATTGTGCGGACAAAAAAACGTGACATCGGACGGAGACGGATGGAACCAAATGCATAATACTGTGTGAAGAGTATAATAAGGCCTCAACTTTTGAAACACTCTGTATATTAGCAAATAGTAGGAATTAAATTTGTTTTCATAGACATCAGAAAATTAAATTCCATTTTATTTACCACATTAAAATCTTAGACAGTAGCTTTTAAGTTACAATTACCTTCATATACACATCATGTTTGTCTGAAAACTATTACTTTAATATTAATCTGTACTGGGTACTTACAATTCAAACGCTTGGATTGCTTCTGCTAGCATGTCAGCTTAATCAATTTAGTCGGTTGGTTCATTGGCTAACAAATAACACTAGGTACCAGAATATAACCTGGATCTTTTTTGCAGTAAAGGTTACGGTTCTTAATGCAATATTATGCAAAAGTCTAAAATCCCAAATTTGTGGGTTACTTCCTTTCTGGAGAAAGCCGTCCAATTTAACATCAAGAAGGACAAATGGTCCTCACATACATGCAACCAAGAAAACATCCTCTAATAACATTGACTACTACTGGGCCGACCCTGTTACAGCTATCGAAAAGACGGCAACACAGTGTGCCGGTTTCCAATTAGAAATACATTGCCTATGCCTGACTATACTGCATTCTCAGTGTGTCCCGAGCCCTAGAGCTTGATTTTTACTAAAAATTTTATGTTAATATCACTTATCGTTTTCGATTTATGATTTTTTTTTAATTTCAGCCCCTCTTGAACACCCCGTTTTTAATCAGATTTTTTTTAAATCAAAGGGCTTCTTCGCTTTATATAGCTTGATTTTTGCGAAAAATTTCGAGTTGATATCGCTTTCGTTTTTGAGTTAGGATTTTGTTTTAATATTTCAACCCCCCCCCCCTTAACCACCCATTCTTAATCCGATTTTTCAAATTTAATATGCTTTGCCCTCGCATAGAGCTTAATTTTTGCTAATAATTTCAAGTCGATATCATTTTTCGTTTTTGGGTTATGATTTTTTGTTTAATATTTCGACCCCGCTTAAACCCTCTATTTTTATTCAGAGTTTTTCACTTAATGAGCTTGATTTTTCCTGGAATTTTCAAATTAATATCGTTTTTACGTTTTTGACTTATTGTGCGGACAAAAAAACGTGACATCGGACGGAGACGGACGGAACCAAATGCATAATACTGTGTGAAGAGTATAATAAGGCCTCAACTTTTGAAACACTCTGTATATTAGCAAATAGTAGGAATTAAATTTGTTTTTATAGACATCAGAAAATTAAATTCCATTTTTTACCACATCAAAATCACGACAGTAGCTTTTAAGTTACAATTACCTTCATATACACATCATGTTTGTCTGAAAATTATTACTTTAATATTAATCTGTACTGGGTACTTACAATTCAAAAACCATATAGAGCATCCCCTCCGAGGAATACGTCTCCAGTAGCTCTACGATGTGCGGATGTTTGAGCATGTGACATATCGTGGCCTCTCGTTTCAAATCTGGAAATAAAATTTATTTTTAGAATAAAATTATGCTGTTGTGCATCGATCGCCTAGGTGTGCTCGCTAGTTTTTGTGCTATACCTATTCGAATTCCATAATTATTCCAATAATTTAACAAAAAATACCTGAATTGTGTTTGCATGACAAAATTTTACATTTTCAAAATTGATTTTGTAGGTTATTAACGCGCCATATTTTAACAAAATAACTAAACTACTGAAAAAAGAATCAAAAATCGCGTTTGAAAGAGCTGTGACATGACCTCCTTCCTTATTTAAAATGTTTCGGAAGGCTATTATAATTCAGAGAAGGGGATAGTGGGAAGCAAAATATTTCCATGTTAAAAATGACTATTTCAAATTAAAAACTAATCTGTTCCTGGATATTTTCTAAAAGTTTACAACCACGCTTAAAATGAATTAATTCCATACACAAGTAAGAAAACTATACATCACAATGAGTTGAAAAAAGTTTCATAGGGATATGCAGATAAGAGAGAATGACCAGATTTATGCAGATAAGAGAGAATGACCAGATTTATGCGCGATGAGCGTCAGCCGTATTGCCTCATATAATATGTGCATGTTCCTGTTCTGGTTCAACTGATTATGAGCAGAGACAACAGAGACGTGTAACTTAATAGGAAAAATTGTTCGGTGGTCCATTTAAATTATATATATGACTTTCTTTCTCTTTTACATTAATATTTACATATATTTATCTCCCTCCAATAAAACTAACACCAATCTAAGAGGTCGCTGATGTTGCTGGTTTTTTGACGTCGACGTATTGATTAAAACTGACAACTGACAATGTTATGAATGTTGTTATGAACTGTGAACGTGTGCATTTTATTAAAATTAATTTAATTTGGGCCCCGTTTATTTCTTTGAATCTGATTTTGTTTAATTAATTTTCTTTGGGGGGGAATGTTTATTTTTGTATATTATTTTTGGCAGAAGCAATTTCTGGAACCAAACTCGCGTTTTTGTACACATTTCGTTCTAGAGGTAAGTAATTTCCAATTTATTAAGAAAACCACTGTATAATGTGTGTGTTTAATAATATATTACAAAATGACTATAATTATTTTAGGTGAATTGGAACAGAGATCCATTGTTACAGCTACTTTTGTTCATTAAGTAGGTAGATGAATATCGACAGCTTTAATGGCAGCACAAAGTTCCTACCTACTTGAAAAGTAAAATGTATGCAGAGTAAAGAATCTACACATGTAGGCAAAGGACTTTTGAAATGATTAGAGATTGGCTATTTCTTACATATACCTACCTCTAATAGCCACTCTAAAGGAAGAAAAAAAATTGAGTCGCAAAAGGGCATTGGAAAATAAATTTGGGGACATCAGGTCGGTTTTGGATTTTAGAGAGAGATCAATCTCAAGAAAAGTTAATTTATCCTGCAGAACAACCAGTAGTTTAAGTAGGATTTGCTATAACTTTATTAGAAATTTTCTTCGATAATAAATTGTAATATAGATACCAATTATTTCAAATTAAATTGAAAAAGTTAAATATGAAATTAGATTTTTCATGGGTAAAATGTTATATCCATTCTAACATTGTAAGGTAATCTATAATTAAGGGAATATGGAAAATAGGTATACCCTGGTGGTGTAAGAGAAAGATAAGGGGCAATGACAAAAAAAATTACAAAAATGTATTCATATTTAAATAGTGTTTATTATTAATAATATTATTTGCTATGTTTGAAAAGTACATCCTGCTGCAAAACAGATCGAATAGATTAGACTACTAGTTGGAGAAGGTCAACCTAGTAACCAAATTAGGAGACTAGGAAAACTTTAACATGACTGGGGACACAACAGGAATGCACACACACAAAATACACAAACAAACGAAATAACAGGGGTAAGCCTTTAGCAACGTCCTGTTTAAATGATGATAGTATGTCATCCTTCATTCCCTTTTAGAAGGCATGGCATATAAATCTATTGATCTTGATTACCATATGAGGAGTTAGCAGGTGGTGTACGGAATGAGTCTAGCAGGTTTCGATCCAGTTTACAGGATGGGACATACTCGACTCGGGCCTTATACATTTGTGTTGAGTGTATGTGTGTTTGTTTCGTTTCCATGGTTTCTATTAAAATAAACAGTCATAACATATCGATACCTTTTTGCCAGACTAACGTAAGCGACATTTGTTCAAATGGCACTTATGATAGTCTGGCAAAAAGGTATCGATATACTCTATACTTTATAAAATATTTGTTATATTAGTTTTTAAATATATTATGAATATATAACAACTGTTTCTTTCTTTGTAATTTGTCACAAAATGATACGAGGTACTTTCTAAACGAAGCAATTGCAGTTTGTTTTTCTGTACCTTACAAAAATATAATTTATAGAAAAAGAGTTTGGTGTATTATTTTTCCAAGTTTAAATATTTAAAAATCAATAGAATTTTCAAGTTTTTTTTTTAGCGAAATTTACAAGAGTAATACAAACTATGTTCACTGCTTATATTAAACTGATTAAAACTTCCTTTATTAAAATGATTATTTATGTGATAAAAAATTTGATGTTATTGGAAGCTTTTATATTTTTTTAATATACAGTGAAACAATAGCTTTTGTTTCTCCTATAAATTTGTATAGAAAAACTATTTATTTCTGAATACATGTTTGAATTTCCCGCCCTAAAGCATTTTTAATTTTCCCGCTATTTACTAGTGGCGCCATCATAGACTGGTTGTGGTTACAATCGCCCAAATAACTTTTACCGAACAAAAAAATACATTGAGTTACACGTCTCGCTGGATTGTCTCTGTTATGAGGTATTCGCGATTCAAATTAATTTTCGCGCGCCTGTCATTTGTCACGTATAAGTAGGATGTTTGTTTATTTACGTGTTGTGGGATTTTGTATTTGAGATTTTTTAACTGTTTTTAGATAATATTCTTATTATAATAGTGTTTTTGAGTTTCATTTAGTGTTAATTTAAGTTTAGTTTTCGTGCTTTCGTTATAAATGTAATATTTTTCATGTGTAATATGAACTAATTTGTTGGAAATATTGACCTATTGGCTGCTACAAAAACATCTAGAAATATGTATTTACTAAACCCAGGACATGTTTTATTATGTGGTTTAAAGGACATATCAGATACCAAATGTTTATTATTGATGAACTTCTTTAAAAAGCTTACTATCTTTATTCTTATATATCATGAAGTGAATTGTGTAGTACTTTGTATATATGTAAATGGTAATAAAACCGTCACAACTCATATTGGAGTTTGATTCTAAACAACGTTTTGCAAAATTTCAATATTGTGAATTTGTAGATACCCATTTATCGTAAGAAACAAAATTTTATGACTTGCACTTGAAAAATAATGAATACTTTAGTTTTGATTTTGACAATAACACCATATAGATTGCAATTTGCTGGAGGCTTTTTCATAGATTTCATTTTTAATTTAAATACTATCACATACTATAAGAAATAAACAAATTTAAAGCTAAAAAGTAACAAAAAACTCTAATTGTAATTGATACAAATTAAAATGTAAACAATCAACATTAATAAATGAACTGAAATTTAAAAAAAAAATCAATATAAAATATCGATTTTATAAAAAAATCCTTAAATAAATATAGAGTATGATTACATATTACTAGACACAAATTTTGATTCTTAAATAAAAGGTCTTATCCATTTCTTCAAGAACTAAAATCCGACGACGTAATGAAATTTTGCTGCTTCTGGCAACACTGAATGTCATCCTACTTATAGGGACCTTTTACTAATTTCCTCCAGAGGGCGTATCACTTAGCTTGAATCGCGAATAGTTACCGTGTGCTTATTTCCAAACCCTATAGTCCAGTGCTCCGCAACCGGTGTGCCGCGGCACACTGGTGTGCCGTAAGCCGACTTGAGGTGTGCCGCTCTTGCAGACAATACGAATCAGATTCGTATTGTAGCGAGACCCGCGAAAAATAAAGCAATCTGACAACAGCGCCGATGGTAAACGTCTATCCGTCTATCGGCGCGGCGCGGCGGCTTGATTCTCGAAGGCGACTAAACTAGAAAGATCCGTGCCGTTCGAGGCGCGACTCGATGTTTTCCTGAACATCGCCACTGCCTATATAAGCGCGCCTGTCGTCGCTCAGAGACTCAGAGAGAGTCGAATAGTCAAGTGAATCAGATAAATACGCGGGCAAACAAATAAATCGTAGAGTGAAATAAATAGTGAATTGCTATATAAATAAATTCTTGTGCCTTATAAATAAGTGAACTGAACTAAGTTTTGTTGCAGTATCTACTTTTATAAATAACTATAGTGCTTCAAATATGGATAAATTTTTGCTGAAATCACGAGCAGATGACGAAGAACCTACCACAAGCTCCAGCATAAGTGCTGCAAAAAGAGCAAAAAAGGTGCTGAAAAGGAAGTACAATCAAGACTACCTTCGATATGGTTTCACTTGGTGTGGCGACGAAGCGGCTCCAAAGCCTGAATGCGTCATTTGCGGTGAACAGTTGTCAAATGAAGCAATGGTACCCAGCAAACTAAACCGTCATTTGATCACAAATCATCCCAGTTGCGTCAAAAAAGACATTCAATTTTTCCAACGGCGCTTGGATCAAAATAAGAAACAAAAGCAGTTTATGAAATCGGCGGTTACGGTTTCTGAAAAGGCATTAGAAGCAAGCTACCTTGTTGCAAAATTAATTGCACAACAAAAAAAACCGCACACTATCGGTGAAACGCTTATTAAACCAGCATGCATGGAAATTGTTAGACTTATGCTTGGGCCAAACGAAGTTAAGGACGTGAGTAAAGTTTCTTTGTCGGCCGATACTGTTAAAAGACGTATCCAAGATATGTCAAGTGATATTTTGGGAACACTAATTAAAAAAATCATTTCGGCTGGAATTTTTGCGCTTCAAATCGACGAATCAACCGATATTAAAAATAAAGCACAACTGATGGCTATTGTACGTTTCG